GACACTATATTGACTATCACGGACCGTTTTTCCAAGGCCGTGCACTTAGTGGCCCTGGCCGGCCTCCCCACAGCCAAGAGGACGGCCGAACTGCTCCTGGAACAGGTGGTGCGGCTCCATGGTTTCCCTCAGGACGTGGTTTCCGACTGAGGACCCCAGTTCGTCTCATGCTTCTGGAAAGCGTTCTGTCGCCTGGTCGGTGCTTCCACCAGTCTGTCCTCTGGATACCATCCGCAGACAAACGGTCAGACAGAGAGAGCTAACCAGCAGCTTGGACGCTACCTGCGCTGCTTCGCTTCGTCCCAGCCGACCACCTGGCCCCGCTTTCTCCTGTGGGCGGAGCTGTCACACAACCTCCAGACCTCCTCTGCCACGAGTCTGTCTCCCTTCGAGACCTGTTACGGTTATCAGCCACCTCTGTTTGATCATCAGGTGCCCGAGGTGGAGGTCCCTGCTGCCCAGACGCTGGTCCGCCACTGTCGGCTCGCCTGGATCCGGGCCCGTGCGGCCATCACCCAGGCCAACACGGAGTATGCCCGTCAGCATCGCCGCTGCCACCGGCCTGGCCCCGTCTTCAGGTCTGGCGACCAGGTGTGGCTCTCCTCCGCTAACCTGAGGATGCCGGCTGGCTCCCGGAAGCTCACTCCTCGCTTCCTGGGTCCGTTCCCTGTCCTCAAGGTCATCAATCCTGTCACCTGCCGTCTGCGCCTCCCGGCTACTCTCCGGATCCACCCGGTCTTTCACGTCTCCCAGCTTAAGCCGGTGATCTCCTCTCCTCTCCACCCTCCACCGGTCCGGGTGCCTCCGCCCCGCGGTGTTGAGGCGGATCGCACCTACACGGTCCGCAGGATTCTGGACGCTCGCCGCCGGGGACGAGGTTGGCAGTACCTCGTGGATTGGGAGGGGTACGGGCCTGAGGAACGCTCTTGGGAGCCCACGAGCTCGTTTGTCGACCCTACCCTGCTAACTGACTTCTGGGCCCGCCGTCCTGGGACTTCGGGAGCCGTCCCTAGAGGGGGGGGTCCTGTCACGAACTCCTCCAGCTGACTGCATTCCATTCATTCCTGCCACCAACGTGGCGACTGACGTCATCACGCCGACACTACTTAAGGAAGTGCCGGCGTTTCATTCATTGCTCAGTCATCGTTTCTCACCAGACTTTGTATCGAGTCTCCAGGCTTACCAGCCCTCTAAACACTCAAACTACACCTTCAGGAGATAACCACGCCGGTTATCTCCGTCTCTCCGCGTCTGGGCAACAGAACTCTCAGTCACGCTTCAGATCTGCCAACGAACCTGACACATCCAACGCACAGTTTTTATCCTGTAACATCTGCAACAAATCTCCCTGCTTTCTGTGATGTTAAGGTTTCATTTTGGAGAAAAGTAGTCTCATTTATGATTTTTGGAGAAACTACTGAATTTGGTGGTGAACAGTAAAAATAATATAAATGGAAGATAAAGTTGTTTTTTTGGAAAATAACTCATTTTTAGTGTTATTTTTTTCTTCATAAATTACAGAAATGACTTGGAATAATCAGGCTGGCATTTGAAGGGTTAAAATCCTCTTAATGGCTTTTATATGTTTGAGCAGATGTAGACTTTTTATAGCCATCTTTTGCAGCGGACGCTTTTGTCCTCTGAACACTCAGGGGTAGTTTTTGTCCTCTAAAGACTCAGGGTTAGTAAATGACAGTGAGTTTAAATGCTGTTGCCCCAAACATCACCCTAGTTTAAAATGAAAGGTGTTCTTTTCTTCTGGGTGGATCATCTAAACCATTGGTCCGCATGTAGCCGTTTAACAAGGTGGTTCTACATGCTCGCTGCTCGCTCCTGGGTTATTGTTCATGTTGTGTACGCTCGTTCTAACTCTGTTATTTAGAAATGGCCGAGTCACCAGAAAAAAAGGGCCTACGTCTACGATGAGAAGAGAAAAGTGTCCAAAGAGTCCTTTCAGTGCTGGGGTGCACTGAAAAAGAAAGGTTGGGCTCCTGCCCCCTCCGTGCACAAAACACCACATGACTTTTTACCAATATCGGATTTCCAATATTGTCTAACTCTTAATTTCTGACACTGATATAAACTGATACCAATATCTGTGGGGTCGCCCTAATAAATCCTTTTGGTTGTTAACATCACAGATCCCCTACTTTTTTTTTTAATTTACTTTTATTGAGGAAGTTCAAATAAAATACAATCTGCAACACAGCGTACAATTGTCTTCCCTTTTTTGTTTTTAGAGTCAGTCAGTTTTATTGTCCATTCTACCACATGTGCAAGACATACAGAGAAATGAAATTAGAGTTTCAGTACACACAATTCAGAGATCAGACATACATGGGCAAGACACATGACAAGAATTGGTGACTGTGGTCCTTCGCAACACGAGTTGCGCTACCTTAAAAAATGAAAAGGGAATTACATGATGATAAATTGGGGGAGGGAAAAAAAGGCATACCAGAGTTACTCCCGGCAGGGCGTAGCTTTACTATGCAAAAAAACGCCTCAAACATATAAGCACGAACATCACAGTTCACAACATGAGACTCCGATAGGGAGGCGGGGAGGGGGCTGGGATCCTGTTTCCCCAGCGGGAGCAGCCCTGTGTTGCGCTCAGCCAGCTGTATCCACAGGAGGGAGGGAGATCTTGGGAGGAGCGCAGAGCACATTGAGTTCCAGCAGGTTGATGACCTCGCTAGGCAGAAATCCACAATCTGAAGGCGGGCGGGGGGGGGGGGGGGGGGGGGGGGTAGGTAGGACGGGTTTTCACAGCATCTGTCTGCATTCCTTCCTTCGTGGGGGTTGTTGTTAGCAGCTCAAGGCTGCCTTGGCGTCAGATTTGGATAACAAGACTTTGTTTGGGTCAGGCAGAGATAATTTTCCTCTCTGCCTTGAAGTCTGTATTGATCATTCAAGTCCTCCAGTGAAGCCAATTTAGGTTCTAATCATCCCCACACCGTCCGGTGACCCTCTCCGAGATGACATCCATTTTGCGCACTAATACCGGTAACACAGCAAGGACATTGTCCAGCTTACGATTCACCTCGAGTAACGTCCCAGTCTGTGAGGTCACCGCCCAGGCGGTGCTTTCCGTGGGTGCGGGTCGCACTCCAATCACTCCCGTCTTCCCAAATTTCCAGAAAACCAGACATCCTCCCACTCCAATCAGAAGAAATCCAGTGATCATCAAGCCAAATATCCACATGTCTTCAACATCCTCAATGGACAACTGAAAGAGGCATACGATCCTCCAGACCTTCCAGGACTCACTCCTCTGAGTATTCTTTTTGATTTTTTGATGATGAGTGGCAGGTAGTCATTGTCCAATGTTATGTGCTTGTCGTTCCATGTGAACCCTTTTTCCCCCCAAGCTTTACGGAGTATCTGTTCCTTCTTCTTAAAGCCTAGGAACTTGACCACAATTGAGCGCGGGTGGTGCTCTTTAGGGGGTATGGGGCCCAGCGAGCGGTGTGCTCGTTCAACATTTATGTCCTCCCCGTTCAGCTCTAGCCCGTCGCATAGAAGCGCCTCGACAAAGCCGCACAATGATTGAGGGTCCTTTTCGGTTGACTCTGGGACGCCGTATATTCGGATATTTTCTCTCCTGGCCCGGCTTTCCATATCCAAAATCTTCTCCTCCATTTTCATGTGTAGTTGCACAAGCTCAACCATGGCGTCCTCCATGTTTTGAATCCTCTCCTCTGATTTCTGAATTCTTTCCTCGGCTTCTTCGAGTCTGTTGCTCGCCTTTTTCAGCTCCTCCTTGATGTTGTCTAATTGTTTATGTTTATGTATTTAGCAGACACTTTTGTCCAAAGCGACTTACAAGTGATAATCGGCATATTGCCCTTGAGGCTAATAACAACAATAACAACAACAACTTGACATCAGTCATGGAGAGTAGGGAACAAGGAGTGGACAGTAGAGAGGGGGGGACGGGTGCAGGCAGGGTGCTAGTTAAGAAGATGCTCTCTGAAGAGCAGGGTCTTTAGGAGTTTCTTGAAAATTGAAAAGGAAGCCGCTGTTCTGGTAGTGCTTGGAAGGTCATTCCACATTTGTGGAACAATGCATGAGAAAAGTCTGGATTGTCCTGAGCGTGGTGTAGGCACTGCTAGCCGACGATCTTGTGATAATTGTTCTTTGTTTTCTTGTCTAAACTCCTTCAGTTCTTGTAGAATAACTTCGCGGTTGGTCATTGTTTTCGGTTCTTGTGTAAGTTAGCCTACTTAGCTCCGCTGCCTCGAATGCTAGCTGCTAGCTTCCGGTTTCCTCTTTACTATTTGAGTGCTGGTTGATACGCTTCTTTCCCCCGCTTCTTGGTTCCCACTTAATTCAGTATCTTCCTTAGTTTAAACAGGGATATTCCCTTAATTACTTTGGTCCTTTCAGGAGCCTCTCTACGACACAGCCATTCACGTTGGTGGTCCGACCGGCACAAATCTCCTATTATTAAAACGATTAGGCTTTAGACATCGTCTGTGCAAAATAACAACCGCTTGAATTTAAGTTAGTAATAGAAGAAAAGTCATGTTTACTTTGTCTCCAGCAGCAGCTGAACGACGTTCCCATCCTGACTCTGTGAGGCCTTTAGGCCTCAGACGATCATGATGGGAGAACGTTTGATTAATAAATAGGACAAGTGAATTAATGATAAATAAATGTTTTAGCTTTTGAAAACGGATACAAGTGGGACATCGCTGTTACAATCATTATTTTACTGTCTCTGCCAAATGCGATTGCGTGAGCACTTTCAACTCAGACCTATAACTGGCTTGGTTTCCGTGTCCTCTGTTCCGGGTCTTCCGTTTAGCCAGAAACAAGAACAAATGGATCATCAACACTCTGACTGTGTGAAGGTTCTTAAGACGACTCTGGTCCTGATTTGGCGCTTTAGAAATAAACTGAATTGAACAAAAAAACTGAAAAATGGAAATGATGATGATGATTTTGAGGATGATGATTTTGAGGATGATGATGGTCATGTTGGTTTATCTCTGCAGGGCTGCCATCAATGTGATTGCAGTGGTTCCTGTCCCCAAAGGCTGTGTGAGGTGAGCTGCTCCCATTCAAATCTCCCTCTGTTTGTTATTAGGCCCGAGCAGCGAAAGTGCTGCGAAGGCCTATTGTATCTGCTCCATTTTTTTCCTTCTTCTTCCGAGTCTTTGAAAGGCTTTTTGGGAGTCTTAGCATATCCAAAAACTCACCAAATTTTGGCCCAATATAGAAAGTGCGTGAGATTTACATATTTCACTGGCGATGTGAAAGTTTATTAAAAAAAATTGGCTCGACTCGAAAATTCAAAATAACCCTCCGCTTTGACCTTTTTTTTATAGTAGAGTGATGAAATTTGGTACACTCGTAGAACTCAACAATGCGCACAGAAAAGTATCTTGCACCCATGGTCGATATAAAACAGGAAGTCGCCCATTTTGGGCTAAAGTAGCGATTTTGACCCATGTTTTGGTCATTTGTAGGGTCTATATTTGGTTGAACAGTTTGGTCATTTTTCGCAGACGTCTTGAAAAAAGTGTGCGATCGTACAGAAGCGATGGACGATTCAAAGGAAAAAATTAAATAGATTTTTCGTAAATACTGAAGGGGCGGGGCCAGGCCTCAAAGTTTGAGCACTCACCAAAAAAATTCTAATTGCGATAATTTCATAAATGAAAGAATTACAGTTATAAAAATTCTGTGGACATTTCTCATCACCCCCGAAGACAAATGAATGTCGATTGATGATGTCACACAAGCCCCGCCCCCTCAGGACTGAAAAGGTCAAGTTTTACTGGGAAATTTCCCAAAATTTGCTCTTTCTAATAATCACCACAAACTTGTAGCAGGTAACTGAAGACAAGTTGGGGTTGCTTGGCCTCACTTTACGGTAGCTTTCGAAAGACAGCGCGGCTGTGATGGTGCGGCAAAGTCAGGCATACCGCCGTGGCCTTACGTTTGCCTCCCATTTCGTCATTTCTAAAGATATCGTCACAAAACTTCTTTTGCGTGATCCTAGTCCGGCCCCCCAAAAAAATCTGATGTGAAAATCCGGTGGGCGTGGCCTATTTTCTGAAATAGCGCCCCCTAGGACCATTAAAACTGTCAGCCCCAAGCCATGCTTTGACTGATGATTACGAAATTTGGTACGAAATGTGGTGTCTCAGGACCTACAAAAAAGTCTCTTGGAGCCAAGTGCAAAGTCGCACAGGAGGTCGTCCATTTTGGTCCAAGTACTCGATTTAGTGGTTTTCGCACATGTTTGGAGAGTGATACTCCGTCGCCCTTTTCACCACTCGCCTTCAAACTTCTGCTATATACTCTTAAGACATAGGGGAAGAAATTCAACCGTCGGATTTTTCGAAAGTTGAAAGGTGTGGGCGTAGCTAAGCCTCAAACTTTGACCTGTTGCCACGTCACTTTTTTTCACAGCTCCCTATTGGACTCCTTTTACCCAATCACCAGGAATCTCTGGCAAATAGCAGTAGACAACTTGAGGTCACTTGGTCTCCAGTACTGGCAGGTTTCGAAAAAAGGCGGGGCTTTGGGAGCATGGCGAAAATCGCCATCACGCCATGGAAATACGTTTGCCTCTCATTTCTTCAGTTATCGTGATATCGCTACAAAACTTCTGGTGAGTGATCCTAGTCTGACCCCCAATAGAAATAGATAGCTGAAATTGGTGGGCGTGGCCTATTTTCCTAAAATAGCACCCCCTAGAGCCCTTCAAACTGTCAGCTCGAAGCCAAGCTTTGACTGAGGATTACAAAATTTGGTACACTAATGTAGTGTCTCAGGACCTACAAAAAAGTCTCTTGGAGCCAAGCCCAAAGTCGCACTGGAGGTCGGCCATTTTGGTCCAAGTACTCGATTTAGTAGTTTTCGCACACGTTGTTTGGAGAATGATGCCCCGTCGTCCTTTTCACCAATCACGTTCAAACTTCTGCTATATACTCTTAAGACATATGGGAAAAAATTCAACCGTCGGATTTTTCAAAAGTTGAAAGGTGTGGGCGTGGCTAAGCCTCAAACTTTGACCTTTCGCCATTACATTACTTGACTTAATAACTCCCATGTGCATGATCAAATCTATATCAAACTTTGTGTGATCACGGACCACATCTCAACACAATGACAATGTGGACAGCTGACATCACCTAAGCCCTGCCCCCTGACTACAGGAAGTCTATTGTTTTATGGTGAAATGCCCATATTTGTCCCCTCTAATTTAGTCAACAAGACACTAAGGTCATGCACTGTCTTCATGATGCTGTAATGACCATTCAGATCTGATCGCTTTCCAGATAGGGAGGGGCTTTGATGCCATGGCGAATTTAGGCGTGACGCCGTGACCTTACGTTTGACTGTAACTTCCACAAACAGCCTCCGATCTGCCCGAGACTGAACATGGCAATGACCAATCATGCCCTTGAGCCAATGAGGCACAAACGGTTGGTGAACGTTATATTATGTCACCAGAGCACCCCCTACATACCTTTAAAACTGTAATAACTCCTACAGACGAGGTCGTAACTGCACCAAACTTGCTATGTGTCATCAAACAAAGGCACCCAACACAATCCTGTGGTCATTGGTTGATATCTCTTTAGCTCTGCCCCCTGACAGATATTAGTCCCTGAATAACACATGCATAATGCAATTTACACCAAACTATACGCAAATGATTGTTGTCAACCTACAAACTGCTCCATGGGGTATTTTCCTAAATTTGGGACAGCGCCCCCTGGATACAATAAAACCTTTGTAACTTCTATAAAAAAGCTCCAAACTATATCAAACATGATGGGAGTCATCACGCAACTGCAATCAACACACATTCCTTCAAATCACTTTAACTCTGCCCACTTACAGCCTTTTGGCTCTAGATGACCCATGCAACATTTGATTGATGCCAAATTAACAAAAAAACATCTTTGATGACCAAAGGTGACCTCTTCGCATTCTGAACCACCATCTACAGGTGGTTCAGAATGCCTGTGCTCGGCTTCTGACCAAGTCCTCCAAACACACCCCCCACATCACCCCGCTTCTCCTCCAGCTTCACTGGCTGCCAGTCAACTTCAGGGTTCATTTCAAGATCCTGGTTCTGGTCTATAGGGCCTTACATGGACAAGCACCATCTTACATTGGTGATCTTCTTAGTCCCTACACCCCCAGCAGGTCCCTCGGGTCCAGTGATCAAAGCCTGTTGGTTGTGCAGCACCAGGCTAAAGGTCAAAGGTGACAGATCATCTGCTGCTGTGGCCCCCAGACTCTGGACCTCTCTCCCCCTGAGCCTGAGATCAGTGGACTCAGTGGTCTCCTTCAAAAAGCAGCTGAAGACTCACTTGTTCAAGCTGGCTTTTGTATGACCTTCTTCACCTCTCTCTCTTTATTCTGCTCTCCCCACCTATTCTACCTTCCTCAGGATCCACTGATTTCCCTCTTTCCTGTTCACTTTCTCTCTTTCTTAACTTTTTTTAATCACAATTGTCTATTTTTGCTCATTTTAAATATATTTTTAAACATTTTCTAAATGCTTTTTATCTTTTTACATTTTTTGTTTTTGTGAAGCGCCTCGTGATTTTTATCTTGAGAGGAGCTATAGAAATGATATTTTCTTCTTCTTCTATGAGATTTAGTGGTAAATGGTCACAGCGCCACCTAGATAGTTTCAAACTTCATTAATTTCTAAAGACAAAGACAGAATGGCATTGTGCTTGGCTTGTGTCATCACGTGACTGCACCAAACACATCGATGTGGCTGTTGGTTCAAACCCCTTTAGCTCCATCCCCTTTCGGTTCTCTGGCTCTAGATAACACACACAACGTCTGACTAATTCCAAAATAACAGAAAACCATCTTTGTCAACCAAAGCTGGCCTCAATGAGATTTTTCTGTAGTTGGTCACAGCACCCCCTACATAACTTTAACCTTCAATAACTTCAAAAAACGTGGTCAGATTAGCATTAAACTTGGTCTGTGTCATCACACCACCAGTGTGGTAAAGATAGAGTATCCCCGAGTGGTGAGATGTGTAATTTAATGGTGGGCTCAGAGGAGATGCTGAGTCAGGGTGAGGTGCAGACGAGGAGACCGTTCGCGGTGTCTGAGGTCGCGGGGTCGATGTTTACGTTCCACGGACGTGCCCGGGTGCCCCGGATTGCCGGCCGGGCCGGAGAGGCGCAGAGCTGCGAGGGCCGAACGACGCTGCTTGCAGCTTTAACTACAGTATGTATTGTTATTGTACTTGTTATTACAGTGAGTGGTGCTGATTCCAGGTTTCTTGTTTTAATAAGAAGGATGTTTGTGGCGGCTCTGAAAGCTGCAGGTACCAGTAGGCAGAGCCACACAGATAGTTTTCTAGATTTATATTTAAAGTGAAAAGAAGATTAAACATCTGGGTCATACAGTAGCTTCCATAGGATCAGATCCAAAATATGTTTACCACAGTTCTTTTAGGCCCTATGCCTTTTTCTTTGGGCCCTGGCACCTCCCAGTATCCGTGATGGTTTACATTCCCTGAGCACATCTACAGCTACAATCAAACTGCTTGGATTGTAAACAAAGCCAGCCAATCCTCCCCATCCCCACACATTTTTCTCCTCCTGCTCCCTCACATCATCACACAAACATGCACATAGGACATTGGGGGGTGGACAAGTCAGGGGGTGCGGGTATGGACCCCATTTCCGCATTCCTGTGGCAGCCCCCCCCCACCCCCACCCCCAATTTAATTGCCCACAAAACACTTCCACCAACGACATTCCACGCAAATACACACTTAGGGCCTTGGTAGTAAGCACATACAACGGCATTTGGCAAGGGGATCTTTCAGCCTCTTCCCAGGTGCCAGTGCCCACTTCCAATTTTAATCTGCACTTAGGCACAGAGGGCTGTGGGGGGAAGAGTGGTGGCGTGGTGGCATCAGCTGACGTAGGCCAGACGATGCCCGCACTGCCCGCTCACCACAGCCACGAATACACCTCATCATCACGCACCAACACTGTATTGGAGCAGGCGGAGGGTGACTAGGGGTCTTAGCACACCTCTGTTGTCACTTGGCTTCCCGGGGCTGGAGGCTACGAGGGGGATCTGGCCATCTGGCTGGGGTCTGGGTGGTGGGTCGCTTTGCTCGGCATTGGGCGGGGGACCCTGCTCATCAGCACCCCGGCAGAAAGGGTCGAACTCTGGGAACTGGTGATGGTTGTACCCTTTGTGCAGCAGTACGGGGACCAGAGTGAATAGGGTGTGTATGGGGAGCATGAGTGGGTGTCTGGCGTGCATTTTTGTGAGTCTTAGGTTATATGTGTATGTGTGAGCATGAGGGAGGGAGTATGTGACTGTGTTTGTGTATGACTGTAAATGTCAGGTGGGGCCTTTGACTCCTTCCCTCTTCTGGGACTTCTTTTGCTGCTATACATCTTCGCCTCCCCTCCCCGTCACACTTGGTGTGGAGTGTGGTGCCTTGGTCTGCCTGAGTGTTTGCGGCTCCTGGGTCAGGGGGTTTAAGATTTTTAGCGTCTGCCTGATTAATCCCGGTGGCTGCCTGGTGGGATCTGGGTCCCTGGGCTCTGTTGTTCATCTTCCACTGACCTGCTGCTGGCCTCCTCCAGTACACTGCCGCTGAGCTCCTCAGGAATTCGCCACCGCCCTGGATCTCCACCTGCTTCACTGCACCTCGACCCGGACATCTCTCATCTTCTCCATCGGAGATATGTCCACCGTGGCTCTCGCAGGAATTTCCACTACCACAACTCTGCTTCAATCAATTCTTTCTGGTCTACCACTCGCCGTCATCCTCACAGGAACTCATACCGCCGAACAGCTGATCACTCCTCGTTAGCCAGCCTCGCCAGGACAGCTAACGCTCATGGATGTGAGAGCACCACCGTCAACTTCGGCCTTCTCAACATCCGCTCTCTCTTACTGGGAAAAGTCATTTCATTCACGATCTCATCAAGGACCGTGGAATCGACTTCATGTGCCTTTGCGAAACTTGGCAGCAGCCAGCTGATTTCTCCCAGCTCAACGACGCTACTCCTCCTGGGTTTGTTTACCTCACCAAACCACGCGGTTCTCGCGGAGGAGGTCTCGCGATAATCTGTTGTGAGAATTGGAAAGTTTTGCCAGTGTTTGTCTCTGATTTTAATTCCTTTGAGTATTTGGTTTTTAAACTTAATGGACCTGCCCCCACTATCATTGGATTAATCTACCGCCCCCCTAAACCTCACAAAGACTTTCTGTCAGAAGTCTCAGTACTGCTCACTTATTTATCTACGCTCTCATCTAATGTAATAGTGCTTGGAGATTTTAACATACACATGGACAACAGCGATCTTCCCCTCACCAAAGACTTCTCATCCTGCCTGGACAGCCTTGGATTTAATCAGCACATCAACTTTCCAACTCACTCCAAAGGACACTGCCTGGATCTGCTGTGCTGCTCTGGTCTCACTCCTCTTAACTCTGCAGCTGATGACCTCCACATCACTGATCACTATTTTATTTCTTTCAATATTGTAACACAGCTTTCTTTTACCAAACCAACCTGGCTCATCTCTTTTAGGAATATAAAGGACATCAATATCAACATTTTATCCTCCTATATTGATAATATTCAGCTACCGGACAATCTCTCCTCTCCTGATGACCTGGCTGCTCTCTACAGTGACCAGTTAGCTCACATTTTAAACTCCCTTGCTCCAGTTAAAACCCGTTCTGTTACTTTCTGTCAGTCTGCTCCCTGGTTTTCCCCTCAACTCCGGACGCTGAACACCAAATCCAGGCAGCTTGAACGCCTCTACAGAAAAACTGGCCTCACCATTCACAAAGAACTATATAAAAACCATATGACTCAGTATAAGGACTTAATCACACTAACCAAACAACAGTATTACTCCTGTCTAATCAACTTCAATCGAGGCAACACTAAGTCATTGTACTCCATTATCAATAAAATTCACCGGCCATCCGATACTCTCCCCCACACATGTGCTCTACTGCTACTTGTAATGCCCTTCTTCTGTTCTTCAATGAAAAAATAATAAACATTCACCGTGCAATCAACCAAAGCATCCCCCCTACCTCCCCATATGATCCTCCCAAACCAACACAGTTATTTTCCATTTTCCAACTTCCCAGTGATTCTGAGATATCAGATATTATCCACAAGTCAAAGCCTTCTACCTGCCTTCTCGACCCCCTTCCCACGGCCTTGGTTAAATCCTGCCTCCCCTCCCTGCTCCCTCTCGTCTCCGCTCTTATACACACATCCCTTTCCTCCGGTATTGTTCCCTCTATCTTCAAAACTGCTGCAGTTACTCCAATACTTAAAAAACCTGGTTTGGATCCTAACATTTTTACTAATCTCCGCCCCATCTCCAACCTACCCTTTGTCTCCAAAGTTTTAGAAAAAATAGTCGCTACCCAGCTCCACACCCATCTGACACTAAACTCTGTCTATGAACCCTTCCAGTCTGGTTTCCGCCCACTTCACAGCACAGAAACAGCCCTCCTCAAAATAACTAACAATCTCATTGCTGCTGATTCCGGTCTGCTATCCATCCTGGTCCTCCTTGATCTGAGTGCGGCCTTTGACACAATATCTCATTCCATTCTCCTCCATAGGTTATCCTCTATCGGCATTGCTAACAACCCACTTCAGTGGTTCCAGTCCTACCTATCAGGTCGCACTCAGTTCATTACTCTCAAATCCTCCCGCTCACAGCCCTCTTCTGTCTCTTCTGGTGTGCCCCAGGGCTCTGTCCTGGAGCCCCTCCTTTTCATTATATACATCCTTCCCCTTGGCAATATCTTCCGCAGATTCAATATTCATTTTCACTGCTTTGCGGATGACACCCAGCTCTATTTGTCCAGTAAGCCAAATTCTGCACTTCCTCCCTCCTCCCTCATCATCTGCCTTCAAGAAATAAAATCCTGGTTCAGTTCCAACTTCCTGAAATTAAATACAGACAAAACAGAACTTCTTTTGGTTGGTACCAAGAACACCCTCTCAAAATTTGACAGTTTCTCTCTCACAGCTGATAATACTTCAGTTTCCCCCTGTCCCCAGGTCAAGAGTCTGGGTGTCATCCTAAACAGCACACTATCCTTCCAATCTCATATCAATAGCATCACACGGTCAGCTTATTTCCATCTTCGTAACATTAATCGTCTTCGCCCCTCCCTTGATGTCCACTCTACTTCTATTCTTGTCCATAGTCTGGTTGCATCACGTATCGATTACTGCAACTCTCTTCTCTCAGGCCTCCCTCAGAAAACCCTCCGTAAGCTCCAGTTGGTTCAGAAAGCAGCAGCATGCATCGTCACTAAAACTCCCATCTCTCATCACATCACCCCCATCCTCAAACAACTCCACTGGCTACCAGTGCACACCAGGATTAACTACAAGATTCTCCTTCTCACCTTCAAGGCCATCCATAACCTCGCCCCTCACTACCTCACAGATCTCGTTCACATCGCCACCTCGTCCCGTTCCCTCAGGTCCTCCTCCTCCATTCATCTCTCTGTGCCCTCTTTCCGTCTAAGCACCATGGGGAGTAGAGCCTTCAGCCGCACCGCTCCCAAACTCTGGAACTCCCTTCACCCTCTCATCAAGAACATTAACTCATTCACAGAATTCAAAAAACAACTCAAAACTCACCTCTTCATAACCACATATCAACTTTGAATTTTAGAGTGCCTTGTTTGTTGATGTTTACGTATGTTTACTTACTGAATGATTTGTGTTTTTATTCTGTACCGTGTCCTCGAGTGACCAGAAAGGCGCTTTTAAATAAAATGTATTATTATTATTATTTTTATATTTCCTCATCAGGTCGACGCAGTAGGGCTGTCGCAATAATCGCAAGAACAATATATCGCGATATTAAGATACCCACCGCGCTGCATGACGCGCCACCGCAATTACCGCACTTGATCGAGCTGATCGAGGAGACAGAAGGGCACTTTTTTTTTTTTACTGTTAGATGTTGCAGCCAAATTTGCATTTCAAAGTTAAACCTCCTGAATGTTGTTTTTAAGTTCAGTCAGAGAATGCCGTTACTGCCCTTTGATCTGCATTCAATAAAGTGTTAAAAATGGCCGTGTATTTTGTTCTAATATTTTTTAAATGTGTAAGCACAATGTTTCAAAGGAAATATTGCCATGAGTTTAGTAATTAACAAACTAATTTGCTAAGTACATAAATAAAAACGGGGTGCAATAATATCGCATATCGCAATATTGAGCTGCCCTGACTCACCGCAGGGGGAATTCCTCAATCGCGACAGCCCTACGACGCAGTGATAGTTTGCTCCTGTTGTATTGCTGTGTGTCCCTTTTCTTATTTTTTTATTTATTTTTTTTCCCTCTCTCCTTCTGCAGGTCTAGAAGCAGACTCTTGTTCATCATTGATTGTTTGTTTTTGTGGAACCCCCTTCCCCTTCCTTTTGTCTCTTCCTTTCTCTTTCACCTCTGTCTCCGTGTCTGGTCGGAATTACAAAGCATTCAAAAAACAAAAACAATAAAGTTTTAAGTATATGATTAAAAGCAGAAGCTTTGATGCTCCACCTGAGAGTAAATCTGTAAGGCTTGTCACCAGCATTCAGACATTTTCTGTTTGCTTCACAGCCAGACAGGACACGGTAAATTACAAAAAAAAAAAATTTAAATTAAAAAAAATTTAAAAATATTGTAAAAAAGCAACTTTTGGTTTTTGATACATTAAGGTAAAATAATACTTGAACTTTATTTTAGAAGAGCTGCCCTGTGTGAAAGTGCTGACAGGGTTGTGAGTTCAAATTCCAGTTTAGTCAGTTGTTTTATTTATTCCAGGGGTCCTCAACTACATTTGTTCAAGGTTTTTTTTTCCAGCAGACACCAGTGAAGGTCAGATGCTCTTCTAAAATAAAGTTCAAACATCATTGTATCTTAATTTATTACAATTTAAAATGGCCTTGTTTCCCATCTGGGCTGTTTTAATTGTGGCTTTAGTTGTGTGTGGCGAATGAGGACCGTTGTAGATGTTTGGGACATGAAACTGTAGAGGCCCCAGAGGTGTTAGGGTTAAACAGGTTAAGGTTGGACTGACCTGCAGCAGCTCTCAGATCAGTGTTACATCACCTGGAACATCTCTGAAATGCTGACCAATAGGTCAAAGCATATAACCCTGTTACCTCCTAGGTAGGACGAAACTTTGTAACTAAATTAAATAATCATAAAAACGGTTGTATTATCAAAAAAGACTAACTGATGCAAAATCGGATAGTGCAAGATTATGGGGTACATTGAATGAAATGATGGGTAGGCATAATAGGTCAGCTCCAACTTTTTTGGATGTAGGGAGAACTTATCTCACTAAACCAACAGAAATTGCTAATTATTTAAACCAGTTTTTAACTAATAAAATTAAGTTGTTGCGAGATTCTATGGAAAATAGTCAAACCAAAAATATTTCCTACCAACTAATTAAACAAAAAATAATGTTAAATAAAAACTGCCAATTTCAATTTGATAAAGTGACTGAAGACAAGGTTAAGGAGATAATATTAAAAAGTAAAAATAAACCATCTGGCATAGATGATATTGATATTAAATGGTTAAAGTTAGTAGATTTTATTTCATGTCCTATTGTTCATATAATGAATGGAAGTTTTAAACAAGGTATTTTCCCATCTCAATGGAAAACAACAAAAATAATACCTTTAATTAAGAACAATAGAGAACCACTGTCTGGTCAAAACAGTCGACCAATAAGTTTGCTACCAGCGTTAAGTAAAATCATGGAAAAAATTGCATATGACCAAATTCAAGATAATTTTGAGGTAAATGAATTGAACACAAAATATCAACATGCTTACAAAACAAATCACTCAACCACTACTGCACTTATTCAAACAACTGATTATTGCTTAGAGAATATCGATAATAATAAGCTAATTGGTTCTATATTTCTTGATTTAATTGCGGCTTTTGATGTTTTAGATCATGAAATTTTACCACAAAAACTTAAACACTATGGATTTCATACATCTGCTCTTAACTGGACTAAAAGTTATCTTACTGACAGAGAATATCAATTTTATTTCAATGGCAGTTTTTCTGAAAAGGGTCTGATGGAATGTGGTGTTCCACAGGGAAGTTGTTTGGGACCTCTTTTGTTTTCGTTTTTTTTTATGATTTTCCGTGGGTGCTGCAACATGCGACTACAGCAGTATATGCAGATGATATTACTGTTTTAGCTTCAGCACATACGGAGAGTGCACTGAATGAAATATTAAATAAAGAGTTGAGAACAGTCGAGCAGTGGATAACTGCTAACAAACTAGTGATTATTGCAGGAAAAACTAAATGCATGGTAGTTGGCTCCAAACATACTTTACAGACGATGCCAAAGTTACATTTAACTCTGAGTAACAATGTAATGGAACAACTAGAAGAAGTAAAATTACTGGGAGTAATAGTTGATTGTAAGTTATCATGGACAAGCCAGATTAATTATGTTTTACGCAAAATGGGGAGAGGTATGGGCATAATTACATTTTGTTGCAAATTTATACCACAATATTTACTTAAATGCCTTGTTCAATCATTAGTGCTTTCTTGTGTAGATCAAGCATCTATTATTTGGTCCAGTACAAGTGAAAATAATTTGCATAAGCTACAAGTAGCACAAAATAAAGCTGCTCGTATTGTTTTAGGCTGCCCTTACAGAACGAATGTGGGAACCATGCATGAAAAACTTGCTTGGCTTGATGTGAAGAGTAGATTGAAGTACTTCTTGGTAACAACTGTGAGGAAAATAATAATTACAAAAACACCAAAAATTATACATAGCAAATTATTGTTTTTTTTTTCAGATAATCATACTTATAATACACGACAGATAAATGAGATGAAAGGTGTTTTACCACGCAGTAGAACTAATCAAATTCAACGATCTTTTCACTATAAAGCTATGATTGCATGGAATGCATTACCTAGAATTTTAATTTTTGAAAGTAATAACATTTCTTTTCAGTAGAAACTGAAATTTTTTTTGTTTACACACTTAATTGTACAGTGACTATGAACTCTGCAACGAAGGATTGAGAATCTGGGTTTGAGGTCGAATACTGGATATCGATGAACTATGATACGAAACAATGGACATGATGTCACCATTCTGTTATATTTTATTTTCAATCTTTATTGGTGTGATTAACTCCTTTCCCGATATTAATTTATATATGTCATTTTGTTCTAGATATGTGATTTCATCTTGAGCTACTGGTATTATGTGAATTAGGGATGTGTGTGTGTGTGTGTGTGTGTGTATAGGGTATTATCTTATGTAAACAATTGTATGAAAATGTATGAGACCCCAGGAAGACTAGCATCTGCACTTAGGCAGAAGCTAATGAGGATCTCAATAAAACGAAACGAAACCTGGGTGTGGGGGTGTCAACTGTAAACCGTGTGTCGTTGGTTCAGTTTGTCTCAGGAGCTCAGTAGTCCAGACCAGAGAGCCGAGCTGAAGCTGCAGAGCAGAGCCGTGGTCTGGGAGGTCCCCCGCTTCCCTGGAGGGACTCAGCTATCAGCTCTGTTCAAGGTGGTTCCAAAAGTCACACACACACACACACACCTAGGTGTTCTGATGCTAACAGAACCATTGTCTTCCTCCTCAGCTGGAGGTTCCAGGTCTGAGTTCGGCTTCCATGTTGGAAGTGGGTCCAGTCGGTCTGAGCTTTGAGCTTCCGAAGTTCACCGCCACTGGGCTTCAGATCCGCTTCCTGCGACTGTCTCCAGTCCAGCCTGGCCCACTGCAGCGCTGGGTCCGCTACGTCACCTGTTCGGATTCCTACACCATCCGGATGTGAAGGTGTCTCCGCAGGACGCAGTGACAGACGGAGCGGTCCCAGATATGCTGGACTTGTTTAATGACTCTTGTTTCTCCTGTGAATAAACGTGAGTTGTAATGCTGCCGACGGCCGTGTTCCTGTGGGGTTCATGCTGAGTAAGCCCCGTTGGTTCTGCTCACTGATCTGTTCCACTTCTCTTTAGGCTGGAAATGATTCACTGTGATCTTGTTTGTGAGCAGATTAAAGTTCATCCTCGCTCAACAGTGTCTGTTTTCCTCTGAGGAACAGCAGGAAGGAGGTTCTGCTGCTGACCAAGGGAACTGGATCAGCCCTGAACTTCCTGCAGTAAAACTTTAAATTCCAAGGTCAAAGTTCACACTGATGGTGTGTGGAACTGAGCAGCTCCAAAAACAGCAGCTGGAGGGCCTCGGGTCAGCTGAGTAGAACCAGAACTACAGAGTAACTTTCCCAGGTTTGAGATTTATTAACAAAAGGTTTCCTCTTTCATTTTTATTCAGTTCAATTCAGTTTATTTCCATAACAACAAATCAGGACTGGTTTGTTGCCAGCTTATTGCCAGTGAGGTTTCTCTTTATGCTGCATCTTGGTTTGATTAAAGGTTTTAGATTTTCTGTTTGATCTGATGTTTTTATTCCTAAGACTGTTAAACGTGCACTCTGTGTGTGAGGAGGTGAAACTGAGAAGCACTTAAGTCAGCTGACATGCTGTTTTTAAATGTGCCATACAAGTAAATATGGTATGGTAACCATGAGGAAGCAGTTCCCCAGCCCTGATGGTGGATCTCCTGCCACTCTAAGCACTGTGCTAACCTCTGACCCCAGTGTTTATGGGAACTGTCAACTCCTGCAGACATGAAAACTCACCTTCTGGCAAAATGTGCTGTTCTGAATCCAAAGTGAAGCTGTGATGTAGTTTAGCTGCCAGCCTGTAGACGTTCCTGCTGAACTTTATTCTGTTTCATGACCCAGGCCGACCTGGGCTTGGGGTAGACTCAGCTGTAAGAAAACCGGGAGCAAACTTTAGTCTACCTTTGAGTTAGATGTTTTCCTCTTGCTAGCTTCTTCACCTCAGAGATACGATAGATATAAGGAGATGATAAAAGTCACACTGTCCCCAAAGAAAGGGTTAGTTAGCTGGTTAGTGAAGGGAGTTAGCCGTTCTTAAACCCTGATCCAGCCTCCTGCTGGTGTTATGATTATTATTATCCTCATCAGCAAATCTAAAATGAGCATAAACTAGTTTAGGATTCTTTAAGGTTTTATTGTTTTCAGCAGCAGAGCCGGTTCGTTTCCTCTGGGTTCAAACCGTATAACAAACCAGACCAAACATGTTATTATTTATCTTATTTCATCCATCATTTATTTAGATTTTAGAGCTCAGTTTTAAGTTTTTCATTTAAAAACAATCATTTAAATATAACAAAAGAACCCGTTAAAAGCACCAGAATGTGGGAAATGACACCTGCTCACTAAAGTCTTTCTGTGGGAGACGCCCGGACCAGCTCCCCATCACCTGATGTCCCCTCTGTCTGTCTCTGTCCTCAGAGCTGAGGACAAGCCTGGGACTCCGGTGAACCAGGGTATGAATGTTTGTTCAGTCTTTATATTTTATTTTTTTATTTGAACAACCCTCAACTATTTGCTAATTGTAAGATTCAGCTTCATTCCAGCATTATTTATCTTTTTACCATAAATAATTATTTTTGCTAAAACAAAAGTTTTTGGTATAGCAGTGCACGGTGTGCCAGAGAAGCACCCCATGGCGGTGTGAGGTGTGCTCTGCCTGCAGCTGGAGAGAAGCTGCTTCAAGGACCACCACATCAAATAAAAACGTCTGAAAGTTTACAAAAATAAATGGTCTTAAAAACTGCTAAAAAAGATACCAAGGTTCACACTCTTTTAAGAATAGATGCATTACAGTTCAAAGTTTAAATTGTTCATTCCAAATTGTTTGCCCAGTAATTTTGAAGTTCCTGTTCAGTAATAAATGTAAAAAATTCAAATTTGTTTTTTGCTTTTTACACTTTTAAGCTGATTTTTTTAAAGGCTTTAACAGAAATAAATTCTAAATACAAACCATACACTGAAAGCTGAGGTTGTTCTGAAAAAAGGAGAAGAGTTACACACACTTTGTACTTTTTATTACAATTTTACAGCCATAAGATGAAAAAAATACCAGGCGGCCCTGTTATAATTATGGTCATTAGAGGGTTATTAAGATGGCGATGCACAAACAGGAAGTGATTGGTAGTCATTCCACTCCAATCCAGTTGGTGGCGGTAATGCACCAAATTGTTGTTTGCCAAGTGCCATAAGACCACAAATAATAAGAAGAAGAGAGGCGGGAGCATTCGTAACAAACCCAAAGCGATAGTCAAAACATGAAGCATGAAATGGAGTTATCCTAGTGGCTCCAATAAGAGAAAGAAGCAGCTTGCTTCATAAAAGCTTTTATTTTCACTTCTGAAAGTGACGTCGTTTTTCAATGTAAACATCAAAGGAAGCAGAAAAGGAAAGACAATGGAAAATGTTTAAAGGGAGGAAAACATGGACCAAAATGGAAAATAGAAGAAAAAAACTAAGGCTAAAGCACAGGAGCACTGACAGGAAAAAGAAAGCAGAGCAAATATTGAAAGCAATCAAAGGGAGAGGAATACAGGAAAAAAGAGGAGGACTAATAAAAAGTGAAAATAACTCGTGTCAGAAGAGGGGAGAGTTTCACAAATCCAATTAAAGGTAAAATTGTCTAAAATGTAGTGTAAGGGGCCCCATGTCTGTGTTCGCCTTGGGCCCCCAAATTGCTAAATCCGCCCCTGAAAGTGGCGCAACCAAAAAACTATAATCAGCACACGATCGTTCATGTCCGCACATGTTCTCTATTTTCTGTCTTATTTGTGCCTGAAGCGCTCTGCTACTGCGGAGCTCTTCACCTGTGCTGCGGTGATTTCACCTCACTGACGCATCGAAACGCGCTCTCCGCTTTATCCCTTTGATCTGCTCAGAAGTAACTGATGAGGTGAAAAAGTAAGAATCCAGGCAGCAGATTTTCTGGAGAGTTTAGAGGAGATGCAGGAAGATGAGAGACAGACAGGACAGGAAAATATAGTTAAATAAAAACAAGAAAACAAAACAAAGTGTTGAAAAGTAAAATGTCGGTAGATTTATCTCCACGACACGTTTTTACCTGTATAAAACAATAAGTTACACACATGTAATATTTATACATCTGATACAATTCAGATCACATTCAACACTCAGTCACACACCCAGGGCCGTTTCAAGACATTTTGGCGGCCAAGGCAAAATGACCCCCCCCCCCCCCCCCATAACTGGGCTCCCCAGAAGCCTCTGTGTAATCCATACCCTCTCCAGTAGTGTTAGTTATACGGTGTTTATAAAAGCCCCTCAGACATTACTGACATGTTCTAATATTATCAGATGAAAAACTAAATTATCAGACATGCTGTCTCATCTGCTTCTTTTCTAAACTTGCTAAAAGTAGGAAAACCATTTGAAAGCCACTATTTGTGGATTCTCTGAAAGTTTCCATGGAGTGTGTGACAACTTATTTTTTCATTGATCCTATCGTCTAATCTCACAGCTGAAACAAGCATCCTTAATAATCTGTGCACAGGAAGCTTACCAATGCTGTAGTAAAACAAAAGGTATAATTTATTATTAATAAAACCTTGTTGCAGCACTAAAGCAGAAAAATGAGATTTTGCAATAAATATGCTAAATATTTACATATGAATTGTTTTAGAGCCCTTTTATTGGCAGAATCTGATATTAATTTAGTTCTTAAAAAAATTGGTCCCAACATGGATTGTGTGGCGTTGCCATAGTGTGACGTCATAGGCACAGATCCCCTGTCCTCTTGTTTGGAAATGGAAATATGATCACCCTACATTAAACAAACTGTCCACCCGGGCTTTTGCGCTGCACAGAGACGCTTCGCTGCCTATGACTGAACGTCAATTGAGAGTCAGTCTCGTGCAGACTGACCAATAAAGAGAAGGCCTCAAGTTAAGACTCTCTCCTCATTGGTCAGTCCACTCGAGGTGGGTCAAAGGTTACCCTGAGCGGGTTACGTGATGCCAGGCATTCAAGTATTGAGTATATTTACTGCATATTACAGTAAAATATTCTGTATGTGACCATATTATGGTGATCCTTGGGTCGTGATGATGGGGCTCTTGAATATTGTTGCCCAGGGTACAACAGTGTTAATCTGGCCCTGGTGTGGGGGGTCTTGTTCTGTGTGAAAACGAAGCAGTACATGTGATAATGCTGCAGGATTTCATAATTGTATCTTCTCAGCAGCAGCACTGCAGGTGCTCTCCATGTCCAAAATGTGCGTAAGCCAGGTCTTTAGTCAACGTAAAGTTGCGCACATTTTTCCTCTAAGTTTTCTTTCATAAATCCCAAAGTTTGCGTGGAAAGTTGCTCACGCAGTTTTCTGACTCCGTTTTGTGCGTAAGCAAGCTTGATAAATGAGGCCCCTGCTGTTTAGCTGGAAGACGGGAAAAGGAGACCCGCAGTCGGAGTCTGCCAAAGTGCGGGTTTTAAAAACGAAGCTTCCTCTTTGAGGATGGTCAGGAGATCCCTTTGATCTGCTCAAAAGTAACTGATGAGGTGAAAACGTAAGAATCCAGGCAGCAGATTTTCAGCTTCAAGCAACTCAAAGGAGTCCAGACGCTTTTCTTTCAAAGCTCATTAGACTACAATGACCTGGATGACTGAGAACCTTCACAGACACTCTTTGAGGATGATGAGTTGGGTCACAAACTGACACTATAACTAACTGTTTTTATCTTTTAAGCTTTTTTTGGTTAGCGGTCTGCTTAGTGACGTATACTTTGTATGCTTTGGAGGTGCGCTCATGACGCAGCGTGTCTACTCGAATTTATGTGCCGTTCTCACCGTGACATGAAGAACCTGTGCGATGGCCAAAAATCGCATAGTGTAATCCAGGCATTAAACCTGACATGGTGTTTGATTCAGGCTGTAAACATGTTTTTTAAAATGGGAGTCAGTGAGGATTTGCTCACTTCTGCTGCCAGCCCCTAGCGGACGAGGGTGGGACTGTAGTTTTAGCCACTTCCGTGTTGGCTTCATTGGGGCTTGGATGACACCCGATGAGGGTGCTGTGATCCAGTTTGTGTTGTTGTGTAGATTTAGACTGCAGATTTTAATCTAGTATAGATATACCACATAGGAGCTCTGGCCCTGATGGCTGGTTCAGAATAAAACGCTGCTGGAGCCCCGGCCGTGGGGCCCTCAGCAGGTCTGGTTCAGGTCACATCTCCATCTTTTCTCCTGAGAAGTATCTTGAGCTATCTCCGCTGTCTGCAGCCTGTGTGATAAAAACACTTCTGTCAACCTGAGCCCGGAATCCCCAGTACCGGTAATCACTCTGAAAGATCTGTGGAAGCAGCGGGACCGGCAGACTGGTCCTCGGTGGTGCGGTTAGAGCTGTCGTTGTGTACGCGCGCGCGCGTGCACTGAGAGAAAGATCGTGCCTTTGCGGAAGCTCGGAGGAGCCGAGGCGGCGCTACATGAAATTAGCATACTAACTTGTTATCCCTGAGCCGATGTGGATGGACGGCTGAACCGAGCAGACACCGACCGCTGAGATAACACCGAGGCCGGGATCATTTTGTTGGGATCTTCTTGCCATCTGCCTGCCGCGGAGATGGGGGACAAGGCGGGCACCAGGTATGACGGCTAGCCGCTAGTTAGCTTCGGTTCTCACGCACTCGGCTAAGGTTAGCATCAGAACCGTTGGCCCGGACGGGGACGTGCTAGCGGCTGCCGCTGGGATTCTTCCGCGGTCTAGAACCGGGTAACATCTGGACCAGACCTAACCGAACACCCCACTCGGGTTTGTGTTTGCCCCCCGAGGGAAGGTGCTCCATGGGAGGCGACGCTACCCCAGCAGGGTGGGGCTAGCTGTCCGCGGTCGTTGCGACTCCACCGGACCGCTCGGGTCTGCGAGCGTCGCACCGAGGTTCTGGCTTCATGTCCGTGTTCTGAAACACTGGGTCGTTTACCGGAATCTGAGGGTTCGGGTCCTGGCCCGGGATTTCCGTGAAAACATGAGTCCGACATGGACGCTGGTGGGCGGACTCGAGACATGGAAATTCTCCGTTAACGACAGAATCCAGTCGCCGGTAAAACACCGAGTTTGGTCCCGGGTCGTGCACCGGGACCTGTAACGGAAACGGTCTGCATTTAGCCTTTATTTAGTAGCGGTGCTGTGTGGGATCCGCGGGTTTCCGTTAATCAGCTGAGTGTTTGTTGACCCGGTTCGGTAAAGATAAACGTGTTTGGCTGGGATTTGGTTTGTGACTACTCAGTTGAGTTCTGATCCAGAACACACACACACACACACACACACACACACACACACACACACACACACACACACACACACACAGGTTATGTGTCTGGTCTGTTTTGTGATTTCACAGCAGGTCCAAACAGAACCAAAGGGCCAGGAACCTTGGACCGGTACTGTCCACACCGGAACTGCAGCATTGCCACAGAAATGTTTCAGACTTCAGCTAGCATCCTCATCGTATGATGGACAAAGTTCAGCTGGACCAGAACTGGGTCATCTGGTTCTGGTTCTACTGGATTTTCTAACTGGCCTTGGTTCTAACCATTGGAACTGGGTCTGACCAAACAGAACCCGGACCTGGGATAGTTTGGTTTCTAGAAATGTTCTCGGAGGTTAAGGGCTGACCCGTGTGTGTGTGTGTGTGCGTGTGTGTGTGCGTGTTTATCTGCTGCTGATAGTACCGCACCTACACACTAACCAGTATACACTGGGCTTCATTTGAGTCCGTATGCAAACATGCTGGTACTCAGAGTGAATTCTGGGAAATGAATGCAAATTGTCCCTGGTTAGTTTCCATAAACTCGAAGCTTTCTGGATCAGTTCTGGGTGGTTCTGTGAGTTTGATGTGACCTTCCTGTGAATAACAGCTGGTCAGAACGCTGGTGTCCTATTGGCTCCAGTCTTCACTTCCTGTTCTTTACTTCCTTTTTGGAAACTGCTGAGCAGCAGGAGAGGAAATATCATGAACATGGCTGCCAGCCAGAGAAGTTCTGATAAGTTCTGTTTGCACACCAGCAGCGGAAGGTTTGGACCAGAACCAAGATAATTTGTCCTGATGGTTCTGTAACACGTCAGGTTCTGTCTGGTTGGCCTGTTCATGTTCTGGTCCAGAAGAGAACTCGTAGTAAATGCAGATCCAGAACATCAGGTGTAGTACCCTAGGATCGTTGAATTTCCTCTCGTTGACCCATTTGAGCCAGACTTTGGGTCCAGTTCAGTGTGGAGCTTCACAGCTCCAGTCAGAACTCAGAAACCAGATGTGAAACGGGTCAGCGCTGCTTTACTGCTCTGGAACCAGCAACATCACTTTAGAAGATTGAGATAGTTCTGGTGGTCCTTGATACCTCTACACCACACAGCAGGAAGCATTTCCTGTTTTGGTTTTGAGGAAAGTGCTGGGCTCAACCAGAACCTTCCTGATTGGTGCTGAAGTCTGAAGGTTCCACCACAGCCTTCCAGTCAGGTTCTGGTCTGACCGGACCGCAGTAGTAGACCTACTGCTGTGTTCTGGTTACTGACCCGGTTTGATCCAAGCTTCAGTTGGACTCTAGACTGAACATCACTTGCTAACAGTTGGGCCGGGTTCTGGTGTTGATTCTGGTTCCTCTGGGAGGAACATGCTCCAGGACTCCAGGTGTTCGGCACGTCCCCAGAAACATCATCACATGGTTGGTAACCAGGTTACCTCCTGCTGGTGGAGCAGCAGTCCTCAGTCCAACCAATCAAACCCAGATCCTGATCTTCTCAGTTTGCCAGACTTTTGATCGTGTTCAGAAAAAGATTTTTCAGTTAAGTTGAGTTCAGAGAACTTTGGGGGGAGTCTGAGATGTTACATCAGCACCCCATGGGACCTGGGTTGGTGGAAAACCTGATGCTGAGTGAACAGAACCAGCCCGACTCCAGCTGAGAGCGCGCGTCTCCACTGGTATCTGAGAAACAGAATATTGATGTAGTGGAACTTGTTGAAGTGAAAACCTCAGGATGAATTTAAACGGTTACACGGTGGTTTTAGAAGGTAGAATCCAATCTTCTCCACCCATTTGCAGGTCCTTTAAAAACACAAACACACACACCCCGCTTATGCAGAGGCAAAGCGGCTGAGATGGTAGCAGATTCTGGGCCTGAATTATCGCACCAGTCCTTCTCTGACGTTCACCCACCAAACTTTACAATCATTCATCTAGCAGTTAGTGTTTTGGTAATAGTCACCACTCTGACCTAGCCATCGGGTGCTTTTAGCGTTGGAATGGTGTTGGTTTGAAGAAGTATTTCAGCTGAAGACCCACTCTGGTACTGGTGGTGGTTTAACAGGCACCACCTGGATGTGAAATCACCGTCACATTCTGGCTCGGTTTGTGAGAGCTACTGAAGATTAAATCCAACCGTTTCTGGAGATTAAACTCTTCAGGAAGACCGGACAGGGACCCTGTTCCTCTCACCGACTAGAATCTATTTTAGGGTTCGAGGCTTTATTTAAAGTGCAGACTAAAATGAGAAGTCCCATCAGTTCATCACACGCTGGTGTAATTCACCTCTGCATGTGACCCATTACCACGGTGAGCTGCAGCGGTGGCCTGTCTGGTTTAACCCCCCAATCCAACCCCTTAAAAGTGATTGTGAAGCAGGGAGGCATTGGGTCCCATTGTCTTTGGTACGACCCGACCGGGATTTGAACCCCGATTTCCCAGTCCCAGGGCGGATACTCTACCACTAGGCCACTGAGAAGGTTAAGATTCGGGTCAAGACCAAATAAGAAAGAAATCACTTCTTCACAACTGTGGAGACTAAACTCCCTGCTAGCTACACGGAAATACTGGATGTTAGTGTTTACAGTCCAGGAAGAGGGATCTAGTCTAGAGGCTACCTGGATGGAGGAGTGGGGGCGTGATGATAAGAAGCAGCCGCTACGACGGAAAAGTGAATGCGTGAATCCAAAAAGTGTTATGGGGTGTTTTTCAGGAGGAAATAACAAAACACAATCACGAGCACCAAAACGTGCATTTGAAATGATCTAAGAGCTTTAAGGAAAGGTGGTTTCGACACAACAGGAAGTTGATCCACATCCTGTGGTTTCATCACCAGTTCTGCTGCTGACAAAACTGCAGTAACCAGAATGCAAAAGGGTTCAGATGAAGGCAGCTGCACTTCTTTGGTTTCATGAGACCTTTAGCTTCTCATCCGAGTAGCTTTGTCCATTCTAACTGGAATATTGGAGAGTCAAGCTTATAAGCTGTAGCTGCCTGATGTTGTTTAACGAGCAGAAACTCCTCTGAGTACCCCTCCTGTCCATTCCCTGATGGTTAGCCTTTATTGAGAGAGAGCTGTGTTGATTAGAGGCAGGAAGGTGTGACCTAGACTGAAGCTGCTTAGGAATGAGATTCAAAGCGGCATCACAGGTACTGGAAAGGTGAAATCTAAGCCCCGCCCCTATTTAAAGTGGGTTTTCACATTTGACATAGATAGCTTCTTTTACTCCTCTCAAACCGTCTATCTTCTCTGTCCAGAATGTAGACTTAGTCATCTTCAAAGGTGTGTCCCTTGTCCTTCGGGTGTAGGTGGACTGCAGAGTGTTGACCTGAAGAGACTCCCGTATTCCAGTCAGAACTGCCAAAACTCCTCGGAGGAGAAGCGAAACGTCTTTAGGAAACAAACAAGTCCATTTGCCTTCATCTGAACCCTTTTGTATCACCATGACCTGGATGACTGAGAACCTTCACCTGCGTGCAGTAACCATAGTAACTGTTCTCCTCTTCTCCCCATGTCCATGCCCCCCCCCTCCCCCAGGGTATTCAAGAAGTCCAGTCCCAACTGTAAGGTGAGTTCCACCCAGAGCTTCTCTGTTTGTTCGGATCTCTCTGAGCGTCGGTCAGGAGGACACAGAACCGTTAGAACCACCATGTGGCAGCAGATTTATTCATACAAATCCAGAACCGACTGGACACGAAGACGAGCAGATCTGAGGTTCTGTTTCCTGCTGAAGATTAGCGTCGGGAAGCTCTGGTCCGATTAACTGCTCAAACGGATGCACAAATGATGGTGGTGATGATTTGTGATGTTTCAGCTGACGGTTTATTTGGGGAAGCGGGACTTCGTGGACCATCTGGACCATGTGGACCCAGTCGGTACGTCTAGACCAAAGAGGGACTTTTTGTGTAGTTATTGGTTCAGAAAGGTGAAGTTCTGTTTCGTCTTTTCAGACGGAGTGATTCTGGTGGACCCGGATTACCTGAAGGACCGGAAAGGTGGGTCGGCTTTCGGAGACTCTGATCCACTACTTCTGATGATCTCTTGACCTGTCTGTCCCTAGCTCTGTTTTCTTTTCAACTTGAGACTAACAACAGTCACTAATCGGTCAATCCTAGGTGGCAGTGAGGCAACAAGGAGTGGAGGAGTGGGGGACGGGTGTAGGGAGGGTGCTAGTTTAGAAGATGCTCTCCTGTTATGTCCCCAACAGGAGAGACCTGGTTAAACCTTTGTGAAACCATTTACCGAAACAGAAGGTGTTTCAAACCAGAGTCCATAAAACTGTATCCAACCACGCTAACCTTAAACAGAAGGAAATACCCTTACCAAGACTGTTAAAATGGTCTTCCCTGGGATAATCTCAGAGTTTTAGCTTTGAAAACTCATCACTCTCAAGAGTTAAATCATTGCAGTTAAAGCTCGTCATAAAACACAAAGCGAGGCCTGGAGGACCCCTGCGCTGCTGCCTCCCAGACTGCTGAAGGCACAGCCTTTTACCCCAGGTGTGGGTCGTCAGACGGGTTCAGGTCAGCTGTACTCATCAGCAGCCTGGATGAAAAATAGAGGAGGAGCGGTGTCTTGGCCAATCACAGGGGCTGGATGGTCCTGGGTCTTGCAGTTGAAGAAGTCAGGCTGGTGGCCATAACAATTGGTCTTCTGGAGTTTCTTGAAAATTGACAGGGAAGCCACTGTTCTGGTGGTGCTTCATATGCATAGGGAGGGTGCTAGTTTAGAAGATGCTCTCTGAAGAGCAGGGTCTTCAGGAGTTTCTTGAAAATTGAAAAGGAAGCCCCTGTTCTGGTGGTGCTTGGAAGGTCATTCCACATTTGTGGAACGATGCATGAGAAGAGTCTGGATTGTCCTGAGCGTGGTGTAGGCACTGCTAGCCGACGATCCTGTGATGACCGGAGCGGCCGGGCCGAGACGTAAACCTTTGCAAGAGGATTCAGGTAGATGGGAGCCGTACCGTCTCGAACTTTGTATGCTAGTGTTAGCAATTTGAATTTGATGCGTGCAGCTAGCTATAGCCAAAGAAGCACAGTGAGCAGAGGGGTGACGTGCTCTTTCAGGCTGATGGAAGACCAGACGCACCGCTGTGTTCTGGACCATCTGAAGAGGTCTCACAGTACAGGATGGAAGACCAGTTAGAAGGGCGTTGCAGTAGTCGAGGCGGGAGGTGACAGTAGACTGCACCAGGAGCTGGCTAGCATATTGTGTTAGGTTCGGTCTGATCTTTCGTGTTATACAGCGCGAAGCGGCATGAACGAGCGACAGCGGCAATGTGGTCTTGGTCAGCTGGTCACAACACCCAAGTGTCAAACTGCCTTTGAAGGAGCCAGAGACAGAATCATTTTGGATTGCTGGGTTTCACGTGACGTTGCGTCTACATTACCAAAGGCAGATGGAGGTCCAGAAGTAGCCAGCGCTGCAAAAAACCCCGTTTACTTTGTTGACTGGGCATTAAAACGCTGACGTCTACAGTTATTACCATCACTCTACCGGGGCAAAGACAAACGTTTCTTTTTTCACGTCCCGAATGTAGCGCGCCACGAAGGACTTAAAGTATCCTTCCGGAGTTTTCCCATTTAAGAAATTATGTATGTTTTATTTTATTTTATTTTTTCAGAACCCTGTACATGTGATCATCTCATCATGTACTGTGATATTATGGAAGCATTGTGTCTTTTTTGTTGATGCTACCCACGCCCCCTGCCCCGCAGAGCTCCGTGCAATAGGAAACTGAGCTGACCAGAACTAACCAATAGCATTAGACTACTGCCTACTTGCTTCAAATGTAAGGAACACCTCGGCTGATGCAGAGTTGATGAACTTTTCACGGACAAGAAAGTCTCAGAAATATAAATATATGAGAACACAGCTTGACATGAGAAGAATACTCGTAAAACATGTTTTAGCTGTTTGTTGCTACAGAAGCGCATTTATAAACAGAAACGTGAAGTTGCGATCTCAAAAAAACAGAAGGAGAAATTGTTTGTGTGATATGTTTTTCAGCCACTAGATGGTACCTTCGGACAAGAGAAATATTCCAGAAAGAGACTTTAATAAAAAAAAAAAACATATTGAAAGAAGATGGTGGAAGTGGATCAGTAATCTACGGTTTACAACAGGATCTGAAAGGACGATGCTGGAGTTTACAGAGATCACTTTCTACCAGTTAGAAGATTACTGAGTATTTTATTAAACTGTTGCTTAAACAGCAATAAAAACCACAGGTTAACAGTTTTATACTGTTTTCACGTGTCCTCACTGCTAATGGCTTTCAGGGTGCTAATGTTTTTAGCAGTTAGCTTAGTGTTGTAACGTGGCGTTTATACCTTATTAAAATCAAACAAACGGACCAGAAATCTGGATTTAAAAGGAATAAAAAGTTATTTACAAGTAGATCCTAGCACATACTGATCGTTAGCATTAGCGATAGCAATATTATCATGAGCTAATAATAAAGTAGCACAACTCACTACTCACCTGAGCAAAAACAAGACGATAGTCATTTAAAGCTTCTCCGGATCACTAACAGGTGAACCAACCTGAAATAAAACAGCTGCAGGCTTCCAGGCCGGTAAAAGGCTTTCGTTTGGTTTGCAGTGTGATCCGAGGAAGGCAGCTAGAGTTTGTGTTGCTGATCGCGTCAGCGCTGGGTAAATCCTCCACAGTGGAAGAAAAGTGCGACTTTTAAAACTCTATGGGTCATAACCTAAAGGATGTAATTTTTCATGATATTCAATTCAAATTCAATTCAATTCAAAAATACTTTATTAATCTCAAAGGGAAATTGATTAATTTGATTTGAAATTGATAATTGATATCGCGTCTGTTCCAGCTCATTTAAGCCTTCGTAGCTTTCATCCATCGCCCCGTGTCGTATCTCTGTTTTGTTGCGGAGCAGATCACTTCCTGCCCACTTTTGAGTTTCGTGCAGCTGCAGACGTCATGAGAGTGAAACCCAACTATTGAATCCCAATTGGTGTGTGTTAGGGCTGCAGCTATCGAATATTTTTGTAATCGAGTACTCTATCGAATCTTTTATCGATTAATCGAGGACTCTAATAAATGACCCTTTGTGTTTGTAAACCATTATATCAAATAGCATGTTATAAAATATGAAAGAACTCTTAAAATGAGCGAACAATCGCCAGTTATTCAAGTTTTATTCAAAATTAGTTTTCTAAACTTCAGCACTTCAACTTTACCTCACAGTAAACAAATGCCTGTGCAAAAAATAAGTAAACAACCTGAGCCGACTATCCCCTCGTGTGAGAATCTACTAGCCTGGCAAGTCAGACAAAAACTAGGAGGATAACTGTTGAAGTAGAGCTGCGAGCGGCTGCGGCCCAAACAGCACCAGAACCGCTCACGGCGCATGCGCAAACATGGCTCACCAGCCATTTCCCTATTAACACACGTCTGTTTTAATTTCTACACTTTTTTCTCACACACACAAAAACGAGGATTGTCGAGAAAGCATGTTTGCCGTGGTTATGTCAACTTATACTGATCACAAAACATTAATTTACTTTATTTTGTTTTCCTCATAAATACCCGTGTCCTCCTGCAGCGATCCCGAGGGACAACAGACATCAATAACAACACAATAAAAAGTCCCACGTGTTGTGTAAAAACTGCTATTTTTAGCACATTTTTAGGTCTGATGTGTTGCTAGCAGAAGCACAGAGTGAGATAAAACTGAGTGCTACAAATTAAAAAAGTCGCACAGTGTCCGCAGAATATACAGCGGACCTCCTAGTCCGCTTGTAGAAGTGACGTTTACAGGTGTAAACGCCTTACGAAGTGAAAAATGGTCCCACATCTTTGACATTTCCTGTCTTTTTCGCACTCCACCGAGGTCCACGTTGTCCGCCATGGCTTAAGAGAAAGTTAAGTTACATTCGCTACTCGCGTGTGCATAGACCTTTTTCACACTTCCTGGATTTTCAACCAGAAATGAGTACCTTTTAGCGGAAAACAGCATCCGGCAACAATGGCGCAATCTAGAAGCAAAAGTTACTGCAGCGTTCCAGGCTGTTGTTCTTATGCTCAGACGCAGCCCTACCTACATTTCCATTCATTTCCAGCAGCTATCGATGTTAGACAAAAGTGGGTAAGCGCGATCAAGCGTGAGGAGGGGCCTAAGTTTGTTATTAGAAGGGGTAGTACCTATGTTTGTAGCAGACACTTCACGGCTAGCGACTACGTGCTGGGGCTAAGTGCTAGCCGCCTTAAGTCTGATGCGGTACCAAGCTTATTTGCTTGGAATAACATCACACCAGGTACTAATCAGGAGTCTGTGTACGTTCGGTGTGAGAAACGGCAGTTAGTGCAGCAGTCGTTACAGGAACTGAAGAGCCAGGAGCTAGGGAGGGCAAAGAAGGCAACAAAGCTGGACCATGATTGTGCCACGTCACCTCCTGCAGGTAAGGTGTTCAAAGCTAACTCTGTATGTTCTTGTATTTGTTCATGAGAAGTACATGATGTTGAACTCATAGTTTAGAGCTTTTATTGTTTATTGAACAAGGACAGCATAAAAACAGTGTGCATAATTAATTATTAACTAATTAATAATGGCATTGTTAATTAATTACATATACCAGGCATATGCAGGCAATGCTACAGCTAACTCCGGTATAAGTAAGTGTGTGTGTGTGTGTGTGTGTGTGTGTGTGTGTGTGTGTGTGTGTGTGTGTGTGTGTGTGTGTGTGTGTGTGTGTGTTGGTGTGCTCAGAATAATTTGAATAGTTATGACTTAAATTTTTCTCAAACGTCTGGCTCAATTACTTTTTGTATAATTTCTAGGACCTATCCATGACCCTGATGCTGCTGTATTAATCTATTAATTATTACCTATACATAATGAACCACAACAGCAATAATGTATGTAATAATCATTCCATGTGGCTAAAGGCTAAATGGTTGTCTGCTCCACACACCTTTAACATGGGATCTTCCAAACAATTTTCTAAAATTTTGGTGAATGTTTGTG